TGTTTCTTGTCATATGTGGCATATGAGACTAGGACATCTCTCTTTATACACAAAAATTTGTCTTCCGTTTTCCCCTTTATTAAATGCATTACTAATAAAGATTTGCCTTGTCATTTAGCTAAGCAGAGAAAACTACCTTATACAGATAGTAGTACTACCACATCTCATGCTTTTGATATTCGGGGTCCTTATGCCACAACCTCTATCTCTAATCATATATAGTTTTTTATTTTAGCTGATGATTTCATACAGTTCACTTGGTTGCTTCTGAATGCCATAAAATTTTAGATATCCTTTATAATTCTGATTACTCTAAAGAAGCGCGAGCGCTGGGCTTTTCGTGATAAAAAAACTATCCTAAACTATCTTCTTCCGGGGATTCGGGTTAGTTGTTGACTTACAAAGAAAGGCAGATCGATTAAGATCTTCATCTTTATAAGGCATTCTAACTCTAACGATTAACGATCATAATCCTTTTATCAGGGTGCTCTTCACATTCATTCATCAGCCTGCTTCAAAATCCATTTGCGTGCACCTTTCTACTAGTCTCACTTGAAATGAAGTTCTTCCCATTCCCCTGGGGTAAATTCCTTGGAAAAGACGCTTGAGCAGCCAGCCTTCTTGCCCAGGTCTTGGGCTAGGCTAGGAGATTGGAAGCCTCAATTCAAGTCGAGCAGCAGCTTTTCTACACTCAAAGGGAACCCGGCATCCCATTAACTGAGACTTCCTATGCATAGCTGTAGCCTTTCGTCATACCCAAAGGCTACTTAGTGCCTCCACCAACTGGGAAGCTAGAGTATGAGTCAAAAAGCCCACATACACCTCCCTATATAGAGAATATCAGTCTTTAATAGGGCTACAAGGGAGAGTGTGGTCAAGGGGCTGTGGGCGAGCTTGGCCTTCGTCGGGAACAGATTGTGCCCATGATTGGGAAAGCTGCTGAGTTCGCTAGATCAAAAAATTACATTAGAAAAGTCAAAAGTCTCATGAGTTTCTGCGGGCTTATTACGAATTCCATTGTTAACATGAATCGGCCATTGTCTTTTCGGGTTTACTCCAACATTCCCTACTTGTCTGACTGTTGCTGAGCTGTTTTTGGATATCAAACGGACCTCTCCAGAAGGTAATTTTAATGTAGCCCCTCTTTTGCAATCAGTTTCGCTACAGCACCTGCTGCTCTAGCTAATTGTCCACCCTTTCCAAGTGTTATTTCTATGTTATGTATGGCCGGTTGAAGTATATTCTTATTTTTGATCAATCAGTTCCATGGCTTACTAATATATTCATTCTTGCGCAATTAAGAAAGCGTTAAAAGCGCTACGCACCTTAAGCACTAGAAGGAATCCGGAAATAGGTTCACCCCTTAGATCGATCTTCCCCAGCCTTGCCATCGAGAGTGATACTTTATCCAAATCTTTCATACCCTTGTGGAAAGCATCTTGATTAGAGTTATAGGAGAGCGAGAAGCGAAGTGAAGAGGCTGGTATGCTATAAATGAGCGATAGCCTTTTTGTTAGCCCCAATCCATCCTCCCGATAGTCTGATTATCTGTTATTCAGGTAGCTAGGGGGTAAATGGCTTCATCATCTCAGTCCGGTCTTACTGTAGCCTCATGGAGGCCTGGTCGATAAGTCAACAGATCTTCCCCCTGGTAAGAAGTTCCTATTTTATCTACTACCCGCTCAAACGTGCCGCTTGTCGTCTCAATCTTTCTTAAGAAGCCAGAGCAAGTGCATGTGCCTAATACTCAAATTAGGTTATCTTTCCACTTTGACTTCGACTATTCTTACTTCCTCGACTCGACCCCGAGATCTCGAATTCTTAACAGACTCTTCCTCTGCTGCCAATTAAGTAGCACGAGTGAAAACTCTTCCCTCTTGCCCTTATTCGCTCATCCCCTTTTCTTTCTTTTCGTAGGCTCATTCTAGTTCGGTTGGTGAGTACGATATCACTCAAGTAGGTCATGTAGAAGGGGATTCGTAGTAGTGATATAAGCGCAGGCCTACAGAGAATCAGCTCTTGCAAGCGAGTCAAATGCTGTTGATTCTTGCTTTCTATCGAATACTGCAATAGCCATCCTCCACTAGATACATCATTCAGAAATCGGGCAGTAGATCGGTGCGCGCAAACATATCTTCTCGGACAGAGGGACCGGAAAGACTTCTACAGGCTTTCTTTTGCCCTTCTTTACCGCTTGGAACTAGATGTAATCGAACTTACACTTTCTGAAGGAAACCCAAAGAGTAGACTGGTAGGACCCTATTCGCGCGCCTATGGACCAATGTAACCCAACCAGTAACTAGTTCCCCCAATGGACCTCTCCTATGTAACTCCAACTGAAAAGGGGGACGGAATAGAAATTTTAGATTATGGGCTTGATTGATCATACTTGATGACTGATTGATGGATACCTTTGTTATATAGTTCCGATGAACCCCACGGATGTCGTCTATAGGGGCTACCTGAAGCTATTCTCCGATCGGTACCTATACCCACTATTCATGAACATAGTCGATGTTAAGGTTACTATAGATGGAAATGCTTCCACCTCAGCCCTTCTTTTTTTCTTAGTAAAGCGCGTAGAAACCCTCTAACCTAGGTCTCCTGCACTCTTATTTGGTTTAGAATTGGGACAAGCCAAAACCTTCATTATTAGTAAGATAGGTTGCTTTCTTGTCTTTAGGAGTGAATTGCGTAGGCTGAGGGGCTACTAGCGGGATTCTTTGGATAGAAGAAGATCTTGGTAAGGTTTAGCAGGGGCTTGCCAGGTATTGACTGACCCTTGAAGTTGAGGTAGAGGCTGTAGGTATTGCTGAGACTGACCTAGCGGAAAGGGATATTTTTCTGGTCTCACCTGAGAATGCTGTAGCGGCACTGGTTGAACCTGCTCTCGCGCCTGAGGCTCTTTGAAGTTGTTGCGGTTGAAGCTGAGTCTGCTGGACTTATTGCTGCTGAAACTGCGAATTCGCCTCTAGACCTGTCTGAGTGGAGGCCGTAGTCTGGTAGTGCTGAACTCTTGATGGTCTCTCTTTTATGAAAGGGATTGCTTTGTGACATGGGTTTACTCTTATTCTCGGAATTTCTTTGAGATTGTGGGCTAGTCTGAATCCTAGATGCAAGCTTCTTAGGTTGAGAAAGGGTGCTAGTCTCTTGTGCTTTCATCTTAACGTTCATCAGTGAAGGCTCAAAGATGTCATACATGGGGGACTGCATCTCTCCTGAGTGCAGACCTTTACGTAGACGACTGTGTCAAAGTAGTAAGAAATGTAGCAATAACGAGAGATGTCTCTCTCTCCCGGGCGCGTATTGCCGAAAAGAAGGTTTTGCTTCAGTTGTGCTACTCTAGACCTGCGGAAGACAGGTGCTGCATGCAAAGGCCTAAGTCCCGCGATGTGCAGAGAGTGTACACCAGTCTGTGCTCGTGCGTCTGGGTGATCCTCAGGTGGAGCCCAGGTGTCAGTGTCAAATGTGTGGCAGAAGCTAAATAGAAAAAAGAAAGGAATTTTGGCGCAAAAGGAAAGAAAGAGGGGGCGATCTCGATAAGCTAAGCAATTGACTCTTTGTTTGCGATTCTTTCAAGGAAGGCTCAGATCCAATATCGGTAGCGGAAGAATTAGACTTGTCTAAGCCTGAGGCCTGGACCATAAAGTCTAAAATTAAGTATAGGCCGGGGGCAGCAGCAGAAGATTGGACTGGAACCCGAGAAGGACAAAAACTAGATATCTTTTGTGGAAGTTACTTACGATCGGGCTTCACTAATCTGTAGCACCTGAACTTCTGAGCTTGCTTGGGTGAGTGGTGGGATGATAAATGGACTGGTCGACCCTCTCAAAATTTTCCTGTGAATCAAGCCCTTCTTTAAAGAGCCATTTCGGTAGGTTTTAAATTGAGTCATTAGAGGAAAGGAATAGCAGACCGCGGAAAGCAAGCTACTCTCTCTAAACTAAATGGAAAAAGAGCTTATCTTATAGCAGCTCTCTCAGGGAAGCTTCCTTCGGGATTAACCAATAGGGTAGAGGTGAATCAGCTTTATTTCCTTAGGAGGACGTTTTTCTTGATTTTTATTGAGGCTGCCTTCGCACAACCGGCACAGGGTATTCATAGCTGCTGGTCTCGACCGGTTCACTAGAATGGTTGGAGCAACAGGAGCTCCTACTCTCCCTAGAAGCTGATGTTGGTTGTTGGCTAGGCTAAACTTGAACCACCGGGCTTACCCATTTTTAGATCATGCCTCCGTAGTTTTTGGTATTGAAGCCTTCCATTTCTCTGCGACTTCTGGAACGGATGGGACTTTTCCCTCTCCAACTGGACTATAATAAAGGAGGGTCGGCCCGGCCTGTGATCGTAGTCCGATAGCTATTCCTGCCCCAACTTAACCAATGGGGTCCGGTAGTCAGGGGTAAGAATGAACAGAAGGCGACTAACCAATCTCTCTTTGAAACCAGATGCCCGGAGATGTTTTATTCGTATGGCTAGGAGATCGGTGAAGAGGGCCGGACAACCAAGCTAAAAGTTCTTCCATTACGGCTACTCCGAAATTTTGCACTACCACCTTATCCATCCATTACTGGAGACGAAAGCAGCTATCCCTAATGCCTTGCCCCTCTCCCTCCAGTCGGGAGCTAAACCCGGGGAGTGAGAAGAGAAGGAAGGGAAGAATCGGCTAGGAAAAAATAAGATTTAATCGTGTTAATGCTAAAAACTCAAATACCGGGTATTCTCCGACATTTTTAATATCTTATACTTGGTTCGAATCCAATTCCTGGTAAGGAAGGCAAAGATTCTAAAGAAATTCCTGGATGATGAACAAGAAGCACTGCAGCAGCAATAGCAAGTCACTTTGGAACGACCCGGCATCGAGGTCTCTACTCCCCAACCACACCACCTGGGGAAACCAAGCGAAAGAAGACAAGATCTAATCTCCAAGCATTGTCTTGTGCTCGTCTCGGTGAATGGACACAAAAGAGATATTTAATATTTTTATGATAAAGCATTCTGAATCGGCATGAGCAAAAGCCCCCATAAAAGCTTCAACAGGAAAAGCAGTTCAGCAAGACAATGGAAGCAAAATCAAATAAAAAAAGAATTGGCGGAGAACAGAAGGAATTTACGAACGGTACGACCGGGGAAGCCTGCCTAGCAAAGCCAAGACTACCTAAAGCTAAGACTCCTTTTTGGGTGCTGCCGGTCTGAATTGATGCCTTTCCTTCTTTCCAGGATTAAGGATCTCCCAAAAGAAAGAATGAATGACCTCACCTCAGGAACAGTCAATGGGAAATCCCTCCATGCCATCGAGGGGCTAGTGTGACCATCCATAGCATACGACGGGCGAGAGGGGTACGTGGTGGCTCAGTGTGTCTACCAGTTTATGGTGAGGCTATTCGGAGATCCAGGGCGAGTCCCGATTCCATATATACGGTTAAGCAAGCCCAGCCGCCAGCTTCCACCCAGACGACAAAAAACGTGAGCGCCTGGCGCGAAAGGTTGCTTAGCTTTACTAAAAAAAAGAATATAAGGCGCGTTAGCGCTTTAGTTTTCCAATAAGGGGCGGAGCGAGCCTAGAATAGCAGCCTATTACGTTACGTTTTCAGGCCCCTTTACTTTTTACTTTTAATTTTAAAAATAAAGCGCTAGTGCCCCTAATCCTATAGAGTCAGGCTCTTCTGCTATCAATGAAACCGAAATAAACACAAAAACCCAGTGCGTTTTGTATAGATCGAGAGTTGTAGCTGGATTCTTTACTCATGACATACTGGGAAGAATTGCAGGAAATCGTTCGATAAGACTTCTCACTACTATTTTAAAATGATATCCGACGATCAAGACAATTCCCGCGAACTCTTTAATTTCATATCAGTTTCTTCTTCTTCTTACAAAGCAAATAGCATTTCCTATTGATTTGTCCCCTATCCTATAGAGCTGGACCTATTATGATTCTTTCTGAATTATCCGTCGCTTATGCTGTTCCCAAGGACTAGCAAAATCGAAATAGCGAAATTCTTGGGTCATCTCAATGGGTTCAGAAACCACACGTTTCTCTGGATCATCATAGCGTACTTCTACATATCCACTCAGAGGAAGGTCTTTTCGTAATGGATGACCCTCGAAACCATAATCTGTTGATATACGGCGTAGATCCGGATGATTGATGGAAGAAACACCAAACATATCCCAAACTTCTCGCTCCCACCGGCCGGCTGATGGAAATAGACTGACTACCGGAGATATTCGTGTTACTTCGTCTGCACTGGTTTGTATAAGAATGCGTGAGTTATACCGAGTACTCAGTAAATTATAGACCACTTCAAATCTTCGTTTTCGAGAGGGATAATCAACTCCGCAAATATCGATCGAAACTTGAACCCTTGTATAGGTATGCAATTTAAGAAAGCACAAAAATTGAAATAGGTAGTCCGTTTTGGTACCATATCTATTCCCATGTTCCGATCTTTCAAAATAGTCAACCCATTTTCCGGGTAAAGAATACAAACAATATCTTAATAAGAATTGGCTATCCATATAAAGATAACGAATGCTTTCTCCTCGTTCATATTCTTTTCTTGCTCTAAAAAACTCGCGCCAGCTTGGCATGATTATATATTCACAGTAAAAGTTATCCGCTTTGCTTTCTTTTAGCAAAGACTTGTTGTAATGTAAATCGCCGGTTGGGTTTACCAACCAAGAAAGACATGGGATTTGGTGGGCAAAAAACTAGCTTTCTTCTCTCTCTTATGATATTTCTATTGCTTCAACGGCTACTTCTCTTCTCTATATGCAATTACTTGGCGTAACTGAACTCAACTAAGCTTGCATCTTACTTTAAGGTTTTATAGAACCTAAGACTCTTAGATAGATAGTTTCAAACCAAATGTGCAATTCCCCCCCCCCCCCCGACAATCCGAGTGGGGAACTAAACCAGCAGCGCTACGAACACTTTCAACAGAACGAGACCTTCCCCTATCCTATATAGTAAATTTATAAAAAATATAGAGTTAGCCGGACTTCCCTTTCCTGGGGATTGGTCTCCCTCTCTTAGTAGGAGGTTGACTATGTCCACAACAATTTGTGTAATATAAATTCAAGGCTCGTCGAGACCTCGACGTTTTGGATTTATTCCTAGGTGCAGGCCTGTCCTTCTTCTTATTGTAGTTGATTGAATAAGGCTTCCCCGCTTCGCTTCTTCTTTGTTCATTCGTAAATCGCGTCTTTTTAAGCCAGGTCAAAACGATTCAATTTTTATCTGAGTCTACGGAGATAAATCGCTCTTTAAGCGAAAATCCCCGGTTTTCTAAAACCTTATCGTGATGATCTCACTCCACGGAGGGAAAAGGTTTGTTAATTCATTCAAAAGACGGGCTTTCCTAGCTCATATAGTGGAAAGCGCCCTTCCCACATCGATCCCTCGAGGTGGAAGAATGATGAAACCTGCCAAGTAATATAGTAGTCATGCCCTTCCTAATCCTCTATCGAAGGAAACCCCTCCGAGGGTGAAAGAGGTGGCTAACTTTCCTTGCCCCAGGGAGCTTCTTTGTTTATGTAACTAAGCGGGCAGGTCTCTGGAGTGTGCTTCTATCGCCCGAGCAAGAGAAGGGCTGCAGATGAGCTATCAAGTCGTGCATTTCTCCCGAAAGTGAGGAGAATGCCCCGGATATCCTCATAGGTGTCGGGTTTACCAGGCTAAGGTAACTAGAAAATTGTAGTTAGCGGGTTTCCCTCCTTCCATAGCATCTTGCTTTCCTGGGTAACTATTCGACAGACGAAACCCCTCGGTTTTATTCTTATCTTAAAGTAGCTTTCCTTTCGGGTTTGACCAAGATTCTTCCCTAGGGTGCTAGTTTGTTTATGTCACTAAGCGTGATAGCTTAACCGCGCTTCTAGCTCTATCTCTAAAAGGAATTCTTAAACCGGCCATGCCAGACAAGTACTGGTTTAAGTTCCGCCATCCCCTCTCCCAGTTGCTATGAATCGAGAGAGCCCAGTCGCTCCTCCTGCCTAAGGGCATAAATAGAGGCATCACTCGAGTTATGCCTCTTCTAGTAGATCCAATCCAGACAGATCTAGTATACGTACAAGAATCAGAAGGGGTCTTATCCCTAGGTGAGGGGATTGTGCTACTTGCTTTTCTCTTAGTTGAATTATGGGTCTTTCTCTTTTTCTTTCCTTTCTTGTTCCGTCCTGCGCTAAGCAAGCGAGTCTTTCATTCCTTGCTCAAGTAAGTGAGGACAAGCCCCTTTCGTTTATCCGGATCTCCCTATCCGGGGACTTATCCAACAACCTCTTATGGTAAACAATATCTTATGTACTCAGACGGGCCGCTCTACTCCCTGTGTTCTTTCAACGTAGCAAGGAGGCCGGCGGAGAATGCCAAGTCGGTCATTCACACTCAGTCAGAGTCCAATTTCCTAGCGGAATAAAGCCAAAAGGGAAGTTATGCATCCTCACCTTTCAATTGAGCAACTGCGTTTCTTCGTCTTAGGCCTCCAACAGAGGTGTATTTCCTTTCAAAGTAAAAGAATTGAGGGGATTATCTCTCTTTTTTATACAAAAGGGCCAGGCATGGTTCACCAGGCGTACTAATTTCATTCGATAGAATGATGATAATTTTTATCGACCCTCACTCACTAGGGGAAGCGCGGACGAGTGGAAGACTTGGGTGTACGTAGTTCAGAAGACTATCTGCTTCAAAAACTACTCTTCCTCTTGAACTTCTTATTGTTTAGTTAGTTCAGTAGCTCTTTCAGTTCGAACTTGCCGTTCCGAGTTGCTTCTCTCTGTTTCTGTGGTTAGTGAGTTATGGAGTTGGAGCAGTTATTCATTCTTTCTTGAGTTCTAGTTTTTAGAGCTGTGTGACTAGCTTCCATGAGCGGATAGGATCCTCTTCTAGGGCTCGTTTCGGAGTTAAACGAACGTTGTTCTTAAATAAATTATTCCCTTCCCCGAGTTAGACTTTTGAAGAGATGGGTGAATAGACACCAGTGGAATACCTTAAAAGAGAGCCGAAGGAAGAGAACTAGAGAGCTGGAGGGAGGGAAGGAATAAAATCCTCGATTCAAGACAGTATAAGATCCTAGAGTCTTTTTCGAATGCCCTTAATTTAACTGAGATCACCAATTAAGATTGAGCTTATGGTAAAGGTTGCTAAGCGAAAGCCTCTCTGCAATGAGGGAAAGCCACAGAAGCTGGCCTTACAAGATAGGGGGGCTGTCCAAAAAAGGAGATTCTTTGAGTTCATACCCAGTAGAAAGAAGGGCAGCTGCTAAGATCCCAAATCGAGATTAGCTAGATGGGAGTAGCTCATGCCCGGCTCGGGAAATGATGTTTGATAAGTAAGATGGATTCGTTCGTGAAAGAAAAAAAATGCAATGGTGGGAAATGAATAGAAATGGCTGGTATGTTTTAGTCTTTCCCCTAATGAGGTGCCGACATCTGTGTTAGTTCCTAGGAGTGATGTTACAACATCCCTTAGTAAGAGCATCCGAGATAGCCAAAGATCCGAAGGAGAAGCAAGAACAAAGGTGGTAGCACATTAGAATAATAAGAATTCAAATCAAATCCAGCTTAAAGCGCTCAAGGAACCCTATTTCATTTCGAGATCCCTACCCCACAGATTGAGACCGAGTTCCAGTTCCATTTTAATAATTTTTTTCTAAACCAGCATCAGTGACTATCTAAGCACCACCATAAAATTACGGAACAAACTGTAGTTTGCGGCAGTTACTGTTTTTATAGCCATAGTCTTTCTTTGGTTCGAAAGCGAGATTGAGATCTATATTTTATATAAACCTCTGACGGAACGGAATGCAACTTTTTCCTATTGATCCAGTTTACATTTACTCAGTCAGTAGTTGGCCGTTGATTTCATTTAGTTGACCGAGAATCAGGAGCAGCACCATAAGGGGGAGGCAGCATCTGAGCTAGTTTCATCTGTCGATTGAGTTGAATCAGCAACAGAGCCGGTAGCCTCACCAATCTATATAGTTCTTTCTCAACCATCAGTCTTTGTAGATTTATTCCTTTCGTGCGTTCTTTTGATCTAGCCATAGTGACTCTCTATCCGTTGTGGGAGTGAGTGTTTAGGCGGGGCCTAAGAATGAATGATTTATGCGCTCCTTCGTTCATAGCACGGAGTGAGATGTCTATGTTCCCACCAGAACCTACGTACGTGTCAATCAAGGCCTTTTTTCTTTTTGCCTATGATGCCATGCCTGCTGTTACTTCACTCGGTCAATGGGGATAAACCACTGTATCTCGCTTTTTTTGATGCTACTTAGACTTGAATCAACCAACCGGATCTGTTCGATCTCCTGCGGCGAGTGCTGCTTCTTTGACCTGTGCTTCCTACGCCTTTTCCCGTGGGTCAATTGCTCTTGGTTTTGGAACTCTAAGAGAGAGGAGGGGGGATACCGTAAATCCACTCTGCTACAGGCTATTCAGCTAACCTTTTAGAAAAATGTCTTAACTAAAAAAAAGAAGAGAAGAAAGCCTCAGAACGAAAGAAGGATAAAGCAGAACTTGCGTAAGATAGAAAGATCTATTATCCCATTTCTTGCCTAAAAAAGGGGACCTACTCTCTTTTCTAAATCCAATCAATAGCCCGTTCCAGTCTAACGAGATTCCTCCCTTTCACCTTTCAGTCGATTAAGCAATTGATCCAGTCGTTGACGTTGCAGGTGATTCTTATGATTCCCGTCCCGGCCACCACCTTTTTATTTAAAATCTGGATCCATAATTCTGGCCGGTTAGCTACTGAGATAGCGTGGCTATTGATGGGTGTTGAATGATTCTTGATAACGTGGTTTAGAGCTAACATAGATTCAGTTGGGGTAGAGGTCTTGTAGAGCCTGATTGACCAGTTTCCCTGATGAAGAAGAAAAGAACTCGACTTTGCCAAAGACATATGAGGCATACTCATCTGAGTCTTCGGGTCCATAAGTCTATACTACCTCCTAAATAGGACTCATTTGGTTAAGCAGTAGATCCAGCTTATGACTCTATTAGATAGACGATGCTCAGATAATCCAGTTCTCTAACGTTAACTAAGAATACTATAAGAGGAGAGGAGAAGTCGACTCATGTACTCTATCTACGAAACCTGCCGTGCCTTTATCGTTGGGTGGGGATAATATTATTGATGGCGAGTGGTTGAGTATATAAGAGAAAGGCAGCTTTTAGGAGTGATCTTTCTTTACTTCGGAGTAGAATAGGTGCAAGGGGGGATTACTCTTAACTAACTAAGCCTAAAGGCTATCCAGCTTAAGGATTTTATTATTTAGACGGGAATACCCAGTCGGTAGCAAAGGCAGAAGGAAAAGGCAGGAATGCACCTTAAGGGGGAGTTCCTGGGTCACGAGCTGGGCTTGCACCAGCGCTTTCCAGATGCATGGTCCGGATTTATTTCTGATCGTTTGATAACTCGGTTCGTCCTCGACAAAAGGAAAGACTAATGAAGACTACATCCGGGGGGATAAGGGGTTCTTCTCCCAAAGCCCGTCGGGCCGACGACAACCCGCGGCAACCATACCAAGACCTAACGAGAGATTTTTATCTCTCCCTCCGTTTTTGGCGCCAAAAACCAACCTGTCAGCCCGGCCAGGGCGCACGGAGGTGTGTCCCGGAAAAAAAAAAATATACCAATCCCGATCCATTAGGTTCTTCGATGTGTTCGTTTACAAAGTCAGTCAGTCCCTTTGATCTTTCTCCCAATCGGCAATTCTCACAGCTAACTCTATGTGGAGTTTGTAATTCCTAAATTAATCTTTATGTTCGACCATATCTTCTAGAATGTTAAGGATTCTGAGTCGCTTCCCTGGGGAAGCTCTTTCGAGCTTCAGATCCTCCGGACAAAGTTTCTTTAGAACTGTGGAGGAGGTTCTCCGCCCTTTTCTAATATAGAAGATTCGGAGAATCTTTTCTTTTAACCATGAAGGACTAGGAGCTTCCGGCCCCATGACCTCGGTTGGTTGATTCGTAGCAAGGGGCTCCTCCTGGTTTGGGTCCGAAGATGACCCCTCCTCTGGAAAAAACCACTTATCTATCCACGAGCCACTCCACGAGGAAGAGGAGGATGCACCACCTAAGGGGCCCGCTGGAGCAGGAGCTTGCTGTGAAGCTGGCAGGTCCATCGGTGGGGTTTGGAAAGCAGGGCTTTGTTGGCCGCTGGATGGTTCGGGAGCGGAACTTCCCTAACGATCTGAGGAGAGGTTTAGGTACTGTTTCCAATTTCCCTCGTTGGTACATTACAGGTTCCACCCTCACTCTCTCCCTTACGCTGTGCTCTACCTCTCGGGCTAGTTTCAAGTTCGATCATAGACGCAAGCAATCTAGTATAGCAAGCCTGCCTTTCAAAACAAAAGGCTACTCCTTTCTTTCTTTGCAACTGGAATAGAGGGACTGCTACTTCTGAATCCAGGAAGTCCTTCTCGAAAGAGTCATCTAAGGCTTTTCGACTTCAACTTGCCTTTAAGCCGGCCAGGCCAGTCTGCTTCTTTGAGTGAGGACTTGCTCGGCCCAGCTCGGTTCTCTCACTACCCGAAATCCTTATCTTATCTAATCTGGATCCGGGCATTTACCTTAAGATCCAGCGCCTGCAGAAGTAAAGTGATAGGAGAAGCTGCTGGTGGGAAATATCTATTCATCACACCCCTCTCACCCGAGCCTCCTGGAAATAACCTTGGTCTCCAATCTGCAGATGAGTGTCTTCCCTCTTATCCCTTCCCCATTGTTTGGGTTTAATTTCAAGAGCTTGCCTTAGTATGAATCCCATCTACGGCTGAGTCAATAGCACCCTCCAACTTTAGTGATTCAATTGCAAACAGAAAGACAACTGCAGTTGCTGGACTAGCACTTCAATTAGCTTTGACAGTATCCGTTGGTGCGAGTGAGCGTTCCCGCTGCATCGAGAATGGTAAAGTCTTCAATTAACCGGTGTAAGCCTATCCACTCTTACTATGAGGGTTTCCGGTGTGCTAGAATCAGCAGCTATAGAATCTGCCTTACCTTCTTGACTGGTGTTACCGGTATGGGAGTACGAGTAGTTGGTGGTGAAGGCAATGATAATTGTCGTGGGGGCTATTACTTGACTTCATGTCTACCCGGTCCCAGTTATTTTTGGTGAATGCGTAGACGCAGTTGGTGAAATAGAAGCTCTTTAAATAGCCTTTGGCTTACGTAAGATCTATCTCTTCTCTAACAGCTATTCTTTGAAAGAGCTTTCGCACTTCAAATAAGATAGCGAAAGTCAAAGCTAGTTCCTCTTCCAATATACTACCGCTACCTTAATCCTATCAAATAAAAATATTTATCCTTTGAATTACTAATATATATCATATGTATTAATTTAATTTCGCACCGGAAACTATTCTAGGAGAAGTTCGAATCCGTTCCGTTCGGATATTGATCGGTCTTGGTTTGACATGGTTTACGCGTTACTGGTTCCCGGAAGAGTTAATATCTCCATTAGCTAAACCCTTTCTTACCCTGTCTTTGGACTCGTATTTTGTTTGTACACAATCAACGGAGGCCTCCCCGACATATGTTGCAACGTCTTCAATAGCATTTTCTTACTTCGTCTTTCCCTTAATAAGTCATCAAATTTGGTGCTTTTTGATCCCCTGTTGCTATGGGGAACAAAGGAGGAAATACAATCGATTCCTCTATTTAAGTGGTTCTCTCTTCTCCTTGTTCCTGTTCCTAACTCTTCCCCAGGTAGTTCCCAATGTTTGGTACTTTCTATACTTCGTGGGTGCAACATCAACAAATTCGCTCATGATCAAGTTACAACCTAAGATCTATGACCATATTATGCTAACTGTTCGTATTTCGTTCATTCCATCGGTATGCTCTCAGGTACCTGTAATTGTGATCTGTTTGCCAGAACCAAGGGGTCTTTCTGTGGAAACCTTCACGAACAATCATCGTTTTTTGATGGTTTTTCCGCTTCTCACCGCTGCTCTTTCCACACCTCCGGATATCTGGTGCCAAATCGTCGCCCGTTTCCTTATTTCTTCGATAATTGAGTTGACTATCTTTGTGGCATCGATTGTACAAGTTCGCGAAGAGGCTGGACGAGTGGAATGAGGGAAAGCGGCTCGATTGACAAAAAAGAAGAGTAGCCCCCTATAACCTGGCAAAGTAACCATAAAAGAATTCCCGAGTAATTCTCAACCAACATATGCGATTCATTCCCGTCTTAAAAAACAAATAATACTTATAAATCAAGCAGTTAGGAAGTCCTAGACTTTAAGCCAGACTGCTTAATTATTCTATTGAGTTGCCTACCCTCAGGTCATTCGCTGCCTTAAGCCCTACAGTTTATTCGCTAGCCGTTGTTGGGACTTAGTTAAGAGTTAGCCTAGAAAGGAAAGGCTTTGAAAGCAAGTTAAGCATTCCAATCCCAGCGGATTAATCAATAGCAGTAGAGTCGTAAACAAGAACAGCAGAGGCTGAACAAGTAACTTCCTTAGAGCGTGAACAAAACAATAAGTTAGGTCGTTTGATTATAAAATTCCTACTGTTTGTTTAGGAGATTTATTGAACAAGCCTTCTAAATAAAGGCGAAGAAGAATCATCGAACTAATGGACTTACCGCTCGCTCCCAGCCAACAAGCAGTTAGCCTTCTTTTCCAAGGAATTAAAATGTGGATGACTGGACATCAGCAATAACAGGAGCCGAGCTTTCACAAAAACATACGAACCTACCATCTCATTTAAGGGGTACTTAAATCAACGTGTCAATCATCCCTACCCCGGATCTTTGGACTTAATGTCAGATTTTTTTATGGGCCCGGGTTAAATATATGTCTTCAGCCGTATTTAAGTTATTGTTGCTGCTTGGGCACTTGGTTGAACCGGTACCTCAACAGCACTTGTCTTTGCCTCTCTCTGAGCAAGGTATGTAGGGTGCTCTATACCTTATTTATTTTATGCTTCTCTCTAGACTTGCTTCCTCCCTGGATCATTAAGTCCTTAAGTCAGGAAGTAAATAGTCGTCCCGGTAGTGGGAAAAGTCTGATTGCCTAGTAGCCCAAGTACTATAGGGAAGGCCTATTCTTCGTATAGGCAAAGCCTCACTATCTTATCTCTTAAACCCTGAAAATGATTCAATTTTTAATTTGATAAGCATGTGATTCGCATCTTGGTCTTCCAGCCTCGATGAAAGCCCCCTGATTAGATAGGGGGGCAAAAGCACGACAAGCCTACCCATCATCAAAGCAAGCCCAAGTCTATGCAAGAAGGCCAAGGTCCTGTCCTCCGGATCTATCCAAATTCAAAGAAAGAGTTGGGCTACATAAAAGATCCTATTCTTAAATGGATATAGGCTTAACTAAAGCCCAATGCCAAGCAACGCCCTAGACTACAAGTGAAGAAATAGGGTTCCACTAAGCCCTTAACCCGACACAAGATGCGTTTTTGCTTTTTTTTAAGAAAAGCTCCTTGACCAAGGGCCCACTTAAACAGAAGGAGCTCGCAGAATACTTCAGGGCTGGAGTGAAGAGCCAGCACCTGTCAGGAACTGTATAAAAAAGGACCGAGAACTACATATGGTCTGAGACTAACTTCCTTGAGAAGAGGGAGACAAGTAATGTAGGCTGTGGCCGTTCCTGAAATGTAGCGGTAGCTCGACCAAAGCCGGTCAATAAGACAGATCCGGATCCTAGTGCTTTCGAGATGGTTCGATCGCTAACAAAGACAAGCATGGGAAACTGCAGACTCCCGCAACTCCAAGAGCTCAAGCCTAAAGCCTTAGTAACGCGCATCCTCATTGCTCGCGTAAAGCAAGCGTATAAGGTTTATTGATGGACATTCCTATACGTCTTTTAGATTTGCTTGTGTCGAACCTAGGAAACCTCTACTATTTTGTATTAGGACACAGGCCATCTTATCCCACTTTTTTTGAATTGGTTTCAAAAGAATTTCCTAATTAATTTAGATAGTTTGATTGATACGGATCAGCTCCACGAATAGTAGACAGGGGAAGGAGCAACAATTAGATAAGAGAAGAAGGCTAGCTATATGCTGAACACAGGCCTGTTTTCGCTTCCCCTTTAATCCTTGAACTTCAGGTAACAGCATAAAGAATCTATTAGTTTTAGACTAAAGGGTTCGTAAGAGCTACTTCCCTTGCCTCAATCCCTATTAGTTAGTCGGGGACTGGTCCTTCCCTCGATATTACGCTCTCTTTTTTTTCACGAGTTAATTTATCCGCCTACTAGCTGTACAGGAAAAGGAAAGTCTACTTACGAGATTGACCGACTTGCTTCCAAGCCGAGTTCCTTCCTTCGGTAGAGGAGATAGGGCTGCTAGAATAAGAGTTCACCACTATCTACGCAATTCTCTAGCTTCATTCTTTTGATAATATTCCATTTCAGAGTGATGCTCGCACCACTACACTCACTCACTCATTCCATCGACGGGAGAAGAGGTTCAATCCATAGGCGAGGTGGAGACTTCGGTATAGGGTCGCCTGTTCGGCGCGCTACTGCTCTTTGGCTCCTTTACTTTAGTTCATCATTTCTTTGCAACTCTATTGATCAATCTCCTCTCGTTATCGGTCGACCTTCAAGACTTGCTTACGATAGGAGGGACTCGAAAGGCTAATCCGTGAAAGACGAAAACTGAATTAAAGTCCCAATAGATCAAGCCGAGGTAGTAGACCAAATCGTCTATCAACGTCCTCCACTTACTCCACTAGGTTGGCTAGAGCCTTGTTACTATAGTTCGCGCTACTGAGATCATCGTTGATTGGGAAAGATAAAGCTTTTGCGCTTGGGATCCTGAGCCAGCAACATTCTTGTTTTAAAAGACGTATAGGTAATTCTTTATTATGATCATATGGATCGCTTTTCGTTACTTTTCTTTCCATAGGCATACATTGCAGTCTAACCAGCTTTCTTCTTTTAGGGGACCGATAATCCTTCTTTTGATCCCCCTCGAGCCTACTATCGTCTTTCGAATTAAGCTTCCGATTTAGTTGGTGCAGACGCTGAAGGATCAACTGACACTAGATAGGAAAGGCTTTCGATCGAGAAGCTCTCGAACCTGTTCCGAAGTCAGTTTAGGATTCGGTTGGTGTTCCGACATCCCGAATCGAGGTGGCTCTACACTCAGGTTTACCTACCTCTCTAGTTAAAAAGAGAAGATAGGGCTTCGAAATCTAATTTCCTCTCCTAAGTGCTTGCTGGTTCCAGACTCCCTATCTTGGTTGGCTGTCATTTCCAGAGGAGTTGGACTGCTTTCCACTGATAGTATCCAACAAGGAGTGAAGAGAGGAAAAGTTATCTCTAGCATATATTTATTTAACGGAATCCATCTTTCTTTTGATATCAATTAAACAGAGGCTTAGTTGTGTGATTCATATCCACCAGTGGATCAAGGGTAGGTTCTTAAAAGGCCTTCGAAAGGAAACTCCTGCAAATCCTGGAAGGATAAAAGTGTACCCTTGAGTTAAAGCGCGCCCTTGGTCCTATTGCAACTGCTTCTGATTCACTTGCTAACAGCGCTAGTCACCTCTTGACTTAGTAAACTACCCCATTCGTAGTGTCAAGCCTTCCCTTCCTCTACTGCTGGTCGACTAGACTAAGTCAACTTGCTCGTGGAAAGGCAGGAGCCTGGAAGCCAGGAAGAACGAGCCCTTAAATTCTTCTATTATGACTTCTTCTACCAAATGAGCATAGAAAGAAGGGTAGACGCTCCTTTAGCCATCAATCCATAACGAGACTTAGGTGATCCTATCTCTCTTATAGAGAGGGCGAGAAAGAGCTCCATTGAGCGCCAACTCCAGCATTCACACTAGAATCTACTTCCAACCTTTAACACTTGGTCGAGCAAGTCCAGAACTAGGCCCTTAACAGAACCAGGACTAGCCCTTTAGAGAAAAGCGAGCAAGATCCCTTCATCGGAAGGAAAGAGGAGAACGAGGACAGCTGACTACCGCTCCTGCCTTCTGGTACGAGTTTAAATTGGCATAACTTTCATTAAATGGATTAGCCTACCATTTTCCTGAGGGCCTAAAGTTTAGATAGAAAAGTCCTCTCTTTCTATTCAGATAGAATCCATCCTCAAACTAGAGTTCAACTCCGTCGTCCGATCTTAAGATGTTAGGTTCTTTTTAAATTCAAGAAAGCATGAAAAAGGAGGAAAGATAGTCATAAAACACAAGTAAGGTAGCATTTCACCAGCAACCATTGTCACTAGATATGGTAGATCCCTAGCTAAGGGATACTTCCTCTTTTCACGATGAATTGCACGACTAAGCCCCTTGAGCACTTTAGCAAAGGACTTACTTTCAGAGAGGGTGCGTTATAGGGTGATGGAAGAGCTATCGATAGCTATCGTGTACTTGCTTTCTCTTCTTTATTTTTGAATGACAGTTCATCAAAACAATTGCTAGATCGAGCACGCGACGCGCATAGTCTTAAGTTCAAGAGCGGGTTGTCTCCTCTTCAACATTTCTACTACTTCCTTGCCTCCCCTTTTCAGAGATCTCCTTGTTCTCTTCCCATATTTTCCTCTACACTTTCGCCGCCTTCTTCATCATGTTGTTCCATCCTTCAGGGATGTTCGATAGGTGTCCGGGCTTCCTAAAAAATCATTCCGGCAAGAATGCTGCTTGAACATTGTAAGACATTGAACCGTCTCGCTCTTGTGAACACGGATCATAAGTGGCAAAAGCCGCCGGAATCCTAATGGATTGTCCATAAGCTCTCCTCGCTACTGTAAAAATTGCAAATTTATTTTTATACACTGGCGCAGATGATTGCCCCTAAGGCACCGATGGACCAACGCCTTCGTCTATCACCCGAATTTTTAGTAGTAGTGCCAGATCAAGTAGAGAGCGCTTTCAAGGAACGAAGTCATTTGAGTACTATAGTAGGTAGAGGTAAACTTCGTTCTAAAGAGGTATCTGACTCAACACAATCAGTCACTTAATAGGGCTTCTCACATTGGTCCGCGGCAAAGAAAGAGCAAACCAGGCAGAAACTAGATATGCTATTAAACACGGGGGGACCTCCCGAGCTTTCTATTCCTATTCCATAATAAGCCCTACCTACTAGTATAGTACTAGGATCAGGCTTCATGTTCGTGTTCCAGAATGGCCAGCTAAAGCCTTTCTTTGAACCTTAGACTCATCTCTCAATCCACTTAATGTACGTGTTGAATTTTCTCCGGATTAAAAACCAAATAAAAAGACGTCCCGATCGATAAAGATAAACATCAAGAAGCGCGGCAAAAGGCGCTACAAATACTCACTAATTAGATAGGATAGGCCCAATCACTATTCAATCCTGGAAGCAAGCATTACGGCCAGTAAGACAACCAAAACTATGCTTCCCAAAAAGACTGCAACGTTCGGATTACTTGACTCCAGCTCACCAGCACTATGACTACTGCTTGCTTCAATTACTCCCGAACCATCATAGATAGCAAAAGTCATGTCACTCCCGCTCGGCGAATCAATCGCAAGTCCCAACCCAGAAAAAGAGGCAGAGTGAAAGGAAAGGTCGGATAATGGGCTACATGTTGGAATGCCTCTAAGGAGGAACTACACTGGCATTTGATAATCTAAAAAGCCAACCAATTCAAATACAGGGCTTTTGATAGAGCCCTTTGCAGGAGGAGATGCTCAGGGCGCGATAAAGCTCGTCACGAGACCGAGAAAGCTCATCAGTGGAAGAAATGTGTCACGTAGTCTCGATTTATCAGTTAATAATTATGAATATCTCCCATAGATTGAGACTTAGAGATTTCAAGTAAGGGAGGCCTGCCTTAAGATTGACAACAGGTCGGTCGATATCGGTACTGGTTCAGCCTGTGAGGGATTCATTCAGTAAGGGAGGGGGCTCTAAATCCGCCTAGGGGAGAGAATAAAAGTAAGACCTTTGAGCACTCAAGATGAGAAGAATCCCGCTGTCCTGTCTCATTCCCATTCTCTTTGAAGCACAGATATCATCTCTTTTCAATGCAAAATAAGGGCATTTATCTCAAGTTATAGAGGGCAAACA